ACGTAACAATTACAAACCATCTTGCGATGTGATCACACTAGCCGCAATATCTTTGATATCTTAAGACATACCCAGCTCTAGAAATGGTCTCTGTTGACACAGCCATACATGAGGAGTTATGAACATTTAATAAAGAAAGAGAATGAAAAGGGGTGTAAAGTGGGACAGAGGAACTACTACAACACGTGTCTCTGTGTTTCTCTTCACCACAGAGAACCACATGAACGTTTTACGTAATGTGACATCAGTACCACTGCTCACATTATTTCCACTGAGTTGCACTACACATGAGCAGTTTGCCCCCTGCATTGAGTAAAGCACAGTTCATGCACACCATTCAGGAAGCACTGGTGTGCTGTGGTCAAAGTTCAGCATTGTTGAACTATGACCAGAGCACAGTGATGTGCATTCACACAAGGAAAACAAAGCTTGACATTCAAAAGCAAAAGAAAGAAAAAATGAGCGCAAAAGCCACTGCAACACAGATTTTAAGCTCAACTTAGCTGTTACTTACTGCTTTTTATGTGAAGGGGCTGACATGCATACAGGTAGCATGGCAGAGGGGATATTTGCTTTTTTCCCACTATAGGTGTGAACTAATTGATTTTAATTCATTCAATTTTGTATTAAAAGCACAGCATACTGTTAAAGTGTTAGAAGTGATAGGTTAGTCTCACAGTACATTTCATTTGTCAGGAGGCAGTGATGACTCCCAGTTCTCCAGACCCAGAGACTTGGACCTCATCCAGTCAACACCACTGGAAATGCTATCACTTAAAACTCCACCCAGAGTCCTCACCCTCAATGAGCGACCCCTGGACTTCATGGAAGACGATCAGCGGGTGGCTCCAGACAGTGAGGAAGTGGTAAGTGATAAATCAGTAATTTTTTTTATTACAGAGAACACTATGTACAATTCACCCATTGTTTAAGATAATGTCCTTAGTGTAACTCATAACCAGAAAATCAGTTGTCAATGCTATTCCTTGTAGTTGCGACCCCAGGGACGTTTACGGAGGGAGCGTTCAGCCAGTGAGAATGCGGCTGTCCGTCAGAACACTCAGCTGATGCGCAACGATTCAGCGTGAGTATGGGTCCATTAACTGGGTACCAGCTATTACGTCTTTGTGCATGTAAAGCATGCAGCATCTTTCTTTTGGTTTCATTCTTGTATTGTAAGCCACTGTGTCAGGAGCTTTTGCTGCTGTCAGTGTTGATGCAGAAACTTTTTGCTACTTTTTAATACATTAACAACATGTTTTTATTGGTAGATTATTTCCAAATTGTGAAGTCTTTAAAGATTAATTGATTAGTTTAAATAAATTACAAATTTGAACACTGTTATCCCCTCTACGCAGAAGGACAGGAATAGCTGGGGAAGCACTGACAGGAACTAGTGAAGCAGACTGCTTTTAATGCAAAGCGATTCAAATTTGAAGCTTTAGTAGCTTCATGTATTTGTTTGAAGGCCTGGTGTAAACTACAAGTGCTTGGCAACTTTATTATTTTGACAGAAATTTTTAGGCTTAATATTTGAGAAAAATATTACACAGTTCTCGGACAAAAAAAAAAACACCTTTTCATGCCCTGATCACTTTCTGCAACACAGCACACTGGTACTGTTAACAAGGTTCCTTGTCTGGCCTGAATGGTGAACTAGAAAATAGTCACTTAATCAAACATAAAATCAGCTCCTTTTGCATTCCTGTTTCTTGCCAGATGTGTTAGAACATAGTGTGGTTGGCAGGTTCAGTCTTTGGCTGCTGCTTTTTGCCTATTCACTTTCACTCTGATATTAGTTTTGCACAGTCAGTGGAGGACAGTTTCCTTTCCTTATTTCTATCCCTTTCCTTCCTCCTTCTCTTGTACTCTCTCTTCTTCCCTTCCCTACTGAATTTGCTGCTCTTAATGGTGGGCACTGAGCAGTGCAACCCCTTCCCCCCCAGCCATTGCTCACCCATGCCCCCCTCTCACCGAGGCTGAAGAACACAACCTCTACAGCGCTAGTGGTGTCTTATCTTTCATCCAGTCCACTACACGTCGGGCCTACCAGCACGTCCTGGAGGTCTTGGATGAGAACCCTCGCAGGTGACCTCCCCATCATCTGGTCTTTTTTTTTTTTTTTTTTTTTGCTTAAAGGTTTTGGAAAAAAAATTGCCCGAATGGGTATTGGTTTAAAAAGGCCGTAAAAATTGCAACAGCTATTTTCATGATAGATGGCATTAAATGTACTTTCATTTCTGCCCATAAGCACCATTTGTTTTGGATTGGGAGAGGGTCATGTGGTACAGGTTGTGTAGTCTCAAGAATCTTGTGACCAGTTTTAACCTTTAACAGTATTAATAACACATGTATTAATCCCAGAAAATGTAGAAAAGGTTTCTAAGTTCCTTGCTTGTTGAAGAATAAAAAACTGAAGCTCTGAACTGCCACTTCCACCAGTGGTTGAATCAAGTTGTTTGAGTTGCACTTTGACTAGGGTTTGGCGATATGTAAAAACTTTTACATCGTCAGTCCACTAATCAATGATGGGCGATATGTTCGCGCACGCGCAGACTTTTTGATGGGTGGAGCAATATGATCATGCACGGACTGATTTCCGCGTTTACATCATAGAAGTCCAAACATGGACGAACTAATTTCCAAAAAAATTAGGGCTGTCCGAGCAAGCAAAGTACTCAAACACGACTAACTTGCATGATCATGTACGTGTCCACCATCCGGCTGAGTATGCTAGGCTATCACCAGCTTCTGCAGCTCCATCAACAAGCATTTGGGCACACTCTGAGGAGGGTGCATTTGCTCACAGATGAAAGAGGGTGCTGTTAAAACCGCGCTATTATTTATTTATTCTTTTGTTGACTGCTTCTATTAGCTCCATCATTATTAGCAAACTTACTCATGGGCGAATAGATACATAAATTGCCCTTGTAAAAACGATCGCCAATGGGCTGTCTATCGTCGATAGTCGATATATTCGTCCAATCGCCCAACCCTAACTTTGACTTCTCAAACACCATAAATGTTTGCTTTGTAAGAAAGGGAATAATTCACACTGAGGAATTTGTTTTATCTTCCTTTGAAACTTCAGAGATGGTGTATTAAAGAGAAAGTGAAGTAGTGCTGACAACTTATTTCACCTTCAGGTTCAACACTTCAGTTACTCCAGGGTTAAACGCTGTGCAGAGCATGTGGATTCATTACTGAACTTTCCAAGGAGTTTTGCAAGTGTTTGACCTTTTAATTGTTTAGCTTTTTAAGGAAAGAATAAGGTGAAAATGGATCTTCTAAATATTGCTCACAAATTCATATTTTCTGTATGCCTAAAAAGGTATTTTTAGAACACTTACCCACATTCTTTGTCCCCTTTGAAGACTAAAGTGATATAGTTGTGACTTGTTTTAAGACACTGAAAACAACTTTAGGGAAATAAGACTTTTTAAAAGGACTAGAAAGAATAGAAAATTAGAGAAAGTCTAGGTGCATTAAAGACATCCAAGTTGTGTGCATGGATGCAACATTGTTGGTTTCTCTATATCTCTTTCGCCTTTTCCCAACTCTGTCTTTCCCCACCCCTTAGCAAATCATCACTGCGAGGGGGGTCGGCTTCCAGCTCCCACCCCCTGCATGATTCCAGGTAACTTCATCTGGCACTTCGTTTTGTTCCTCTCTCCTTGTCCTCATCCTTTCCTACCTTGAGTGGTAGGACACAGATATATGGACACAGATATCTATAAAAATTACATTGCCATTGTTAAATTGTTCTGCGTATTTGAATGTGCCGTGTGCTGCTGTGACTTGGTTATTTTGTGATTCTCAAACTAGCCTTTTTTTTTTTTAAGGCTTGCACTGTCAACATATGAACCCTCTCTGGATGGGACAGCTGATGACATGACTGTGGTCGATGCAACAACACTTCGACGGCAGGTTAGCTCATGATAAATAAATGAATTCTGTCTTGTGTGGTGCAAGAGGCCAGACTGATAAAACAATTTTTTTTTTGATTCGGCAACAGCTCATCAAGTTGAACCGGAGACTCCAACATTTGGAGGAAGAGAACAAAGAGCGAACAAAGCGAGAGATGATCCTGTACTCCGTCACCGTCGCTTTCTGGCTCATCAACACTTGGGTGTGGTTGCGACGTTAGAGCCGGCCTGTGTTTCCGCCATCCACATGACAAGAACGTATTATCCTTTATCCTATCAGTTAGCTGCTCACTGCACTTAACCCCTGTGTGAGGAGATGTTAGCACGTGCAAGGCCTGTTGCACATAGGCTCAACATTTTGATTTTGTTTATTTAAACATGTACAGTTTTATTTTTGTACTCTTATTTTGTTCCTTCTATTCCATTTTCTTGTGTTTTGTTTTTATTCTCAAATTCTGCTGCCCATTGCTAAGTTGTTGTAAATATTTGTTCATGTCAATCGGACCTCATCCAGAGGCACAGTATATAGTTCACCCAAAAAAAAAATAAAATAAGGAGCTGTAGTGTGGGGACATACAGCTCCATGGTGGTAATGCTGAATACTAAGAGTAATATGTGACTTGGCTGGTAAATTTAATAAAGTTTAGTAAAACCGTACCAGTCATGTGTGGTCTTGTATTTTTATTGAGACATTAACATAGTTTTTCCTGTAGAGGAGTTAAATGTCTCCCGAGGAAAAAAGCCTAAAATTTACAAGTGTATTTATTTGGGTGGATTCTCTCAAACAAAATAGATACATTTGCTTTTGAAATGGTCAGAAGTAACCAAAAATTATACATATCTGTTACAAAACAGCTAGCATTGTCTTACCCATTGCACTGTATTAAACCACAAAGGACCACAGTTGTCTGGGAAAAACCCTGAATGAAATAAAATTATATAAAATGTTGCTGTAATGTGAAGAGTAAACGTATAATTCCCCCCGAGAATACTGACCAAATCAGTCCTGAATTTATTCTTTTCACAGTATAACAGCTGACAAGCACACAGACAAAACAGCTATCACAAATATGCTACAGATTGAATTGCAGTTTACTATTTTAATTCATATTTCAAATTTAATGACATCAAGGTATTACTCAAGCTCCTCGATCAGGCAGCGTGGTGGAGAGGAGGTTTGGTTTATTTTTGAGTTTGACGGGTCGGAAGGCGCACCCTCATCCTCTGGATACACTAGCGATGTAGAATTGCCAGAGACAGCCGGTGATTTGTCGCAGCCACTTGTTAGGAACAAAAAGCTCTTAGCTGGAGCGGATGTGGAGATGCTGTCACTCTGAATCCCAGCTGGTGCTTCCCCGTTGCTGTCACCTGATATGACTTCTATTTTTGGTTTAAAGGCCTGCCTACAAGAGAACGCTGCGTTAAAGTCTTCTGTGTCCACATCTTCCAAATCAGGCAACTCATCAATACGCAATGAGCGACTTGCTGGAGGAAGGTGAATGGTTTCCAGCAGCTCTGCATCTTGTAGCTCTGTAATCCGTGGTCCAGGACTATGTACCGGTACATCGTCATCGGCTTCAGGAAGGGGAGGCTGTTTGTTTTTACTCTGCTCTCTCTCTGCTTCATTTCTCTTGGACTGTTTTTCTTGTTTATTTTCTGTCTCTAACATGTGCCCTACAGTACTGCCTTGCTCATCTGCTGGGATCTTTTCCCTTCCTTTCTCTTCTCTTACGGTGTGTGTTATCGGAGAATGGTCCTGGGTATCTTCATCTAACTGCTCTCTCATCAGGAGTTGACCTGCCTCCTTGGTCTCAAGATGTTTACTTGCTGGTTGATTTTCAAGAAGTCCCTGTTTTGACTGTTTCTCTAAGAACTCTTCATGGGCATCCAGGCTGTCCTGCACAAAAGCTTGTATCTTGTCACCTTGTGAAGAAGTTAAAATCTGGGTACCGTTTTCCTCAGTAGTAGTTTCTGGAGTAGAGGAAGCATCGGTTTTCCCTGAAATGAAACAATTATACTGTGTAAACATTCATCCACATTTACTCTCAGTATACAGACGAGGGTAGTAAAAGCTGAAAGCTGATTACCTTTATCCTCCAACTCTCTGAGTCTGCGTCTTTCCTGGGCCTTCTTCCGAATCATTGCCATTCCATCCAAGCTTTCCTGAATTTTCTTCCTCTCTCGTGTATCCCACTGCTCCCTCTCCTGGCGTTCCCCTTCCAGCCCTCCCACTGCCCACGACTCAGCACATGCCCTGTCTTTAGGAAACACAGGGCGATCGTCAAGAAACGTGAGCTGCTTGAGGCGTACAATCATATTTTTTCTGTAGTTTGGGATTTTTTTCACGACCTCATTTCCCATTAGATTCAGTACACGCAGTTCTGGCATGGCCTCAAGCACAGGCAGGATGTCAGGGTCGTGTAACAGGTTGTGAGAGAGGTCTAATACACTAATGTTCAGACACTGACTCAAATGCTCTATGTCACCAACAGTTTCCAGCTTGTTATGGGCAATCTGCAGAGTACTCAGGTCAGGAAGGCAGGAGATGTTCTCTATGATGTGTATGTAGTTGTTGGAGACGTTCAGGATGCAGAGTTTCTTCAGAGGCTCTAGGTTTTCCAGCTTGTATATGAGATTTTGCTGAAGGAACAAGCAGCGCAGATCAGTCTGAGCATCCAGATTCTCAATGCGTTGGAGCCCATTGCTTTCCAGCCAGAGACATTTCAGACCTGTGTACTCCTCTAAGTTCTCAATGGTGGAGAAACCTTTGAAATGCAGATACAGCGCATCATTGTGGCATGGTGTTATGTACAGTTTGTTCTGCTTACAGTGGTCTCTCAGGAATTTCTTGGTCATCCGTGGTCCTGAGTGTTTTTTATTTTTCTCCTGAGGTGAACTTTGCAGCTCTTTTTTCCCAAGGTCTTCTTGAGCTCCACTGCTGTCAGAACTTTCTCGGGCATCCCCACCTTCGACTTCAGTTGCTACCAACACTTGATCTTCCATCCTTTCTTGATTTTCCGAAGTGGATATCGTTAAAATTGATATTAGAAACATACAATACTTCTTAACGATTGGTTTTATAGGCGTTTCTGAATTGTACAGTCGAATAAATAGCAATCAGCAGCCTGCCCCGGTCGTTAATATTAGTTACCGTTTACGCTTGTTTCCATGGTAACGCTCCGTCTTTACGCTCCAGCCTACCGGATATGCTTTGTTGCTCCGTGTCGGACACTTTTAGTGGTTGCACCTTGCTGTTTAGGGACCCAACATGGCGTCAGGGTACTTACTAAATCGTGGTGCTTTGACATTAGGAATTCATTGCCAGCGCGTCTGCAGGGATATTTCACTGTCACAGGTTAGAGAGAAAAAGCGATGGATGAAAGCTTACACGTACCTCATGGCGAAGAAGTTGAAGCTGGAAGGACCTCCACCTCCGACGCCACGGTAACGCCAAAAATCACTAGAGAGCGTCTCAAGGCCATTCGTGTATTTGATATTTCAATGTGTTTATTTTTTCATAGTCCGTTGAGAAGCGTGCATATGGACGGCATTTTAGTGCAATTTTGCAACTGTTTAATGCAGATGTTTTAGCCCTGCGTGTGGCGTTACTGGTTTCATGGCTTTTCCAAATAACACCAGAAGCGTAGCTAGCTGTCGAAGCTTCTTTGCCCAAGGGTAGAAAACCAAGATCCTCCCCGTGATCTCGGTTAATCTTCTAATTTTATCATTGATTTAATATATAAAAATGTCATATTTTAATGACCGTATGCTTTGTCCATGGCCTTCTAAGACTTTCTGTACACGCTTTTAGTGATTTTAGACATGATTTTAGCCACTGTACACTCCTATTTCTGTTTGGTATTTACTTTTTTCTTCTTCTTCAGATCCCAGCAGCCTCACTGGGATTACCATGCAGAGATTCAAGCTTTCACCCATCGCCTGCATGAAAATTTCTCTCTTGAGCTCCTGAAAACAGCCTTCATCAATCCCTGTTACCTGCAGATGGAGCAAGAGAAGAGAAAGGGGTTGGGTGTGGAATCTGAGACTGCCGCTCTTGTTCTAAAAGATAATATGCAGCTGAGTAAAAAGGGGTCTGCGTTCGCTGAAAGCTTCCTGATCGACTGGTGCAGGGCAAGCTTCCCGAGCCTCCCGGCCATCGGGGTGGAGAGTATTGTAGGGCACCTCACCAGTCCAGCAGTCATCACTTACGTAGCCAGAAATCTGGGCATTGAAGACCTAACAATGAGTGCAGAATTCCCTGTTCCAGATGATGTGCTCTGTTCTACTTTCATGGCAGTGATCGGAGCTCTGCAGGAAAGCAGTGGAGCTGAGCGAACTGGATTATTTCTCAGGGTAGGTCGCTTGTGGCACAAAATCATTGGCACATAATAATTTGCTTAGAGGAAGCATAATTTGTCCACATTGCTCAGTTGCCTCTGCTGTGTGTACAGTGGTGGGACATTTTGTTCTTGTAATCCTACCTCCACCTTCTTCCTAGGATTTTCTGGTGACTCAGCTGATAGGAAAGGACCTCTTTGATATGTGGACTGTGATCAACCCCATGGGACTACTGGTGGAAGAGCTTACAAAGAGGAAAATTCCTCTGCCGGAGCCTCGGCTCATCCGGTCTGCTGGAGCCAGCACAGTGTTGCCACTGTATTTTGTTGGCTTATACAGGTATGTGTTCTGTTGTTCGTGCGTTGTTACTGTTCTAAATTTAAAACTGATGCAATGGGTTAAAATTAATGCTATGAAGAATTTACATTTTTGTCTGCTCACCTCTTTGTTAATTCAGTGACAAGAAGCTACTGGCTCAGGGTCCAGGAGAGACGCTTGCAGCAGCCGAGGAAGAAGCAGCTTGCGTGGCCCTCCGGAAACTTTATGGCTACACTGAGAACCGCAGACCCTTTGACTTTTCTCCACAACAACAACAACAGCAGCCTTTTATTCAGTCAGCCAGCAATTAATTAACATCTCTAAAGCTGCAGCAAAAAACATTTAAAGGGGGCAAGGACGGACAGGAATCTCATTTGAAGACTTAAGGCTTCCCACTGATTGCAGAGTGTGCTGAACTTGACATAACTGGTTCTTGTTGGGTATTTAAAAGTCAGGTCCTTCAGTCAAAGCAGAGTACTATAAGTCTTGATGTTCTAAGAAAAAATGTTGTAAGATCTGGCTCAGACAGAATATTGTTCCAGTAACTGATGACATCTTCAGTAGTGAACTAGACTGGTCAGCTCACCCTAGATTACAACAGAGGTTCTGAAGTCCATTGCACAAAATACTCTTGTAAATAATACAAATACCATTTGGTTTACTTTGTATTATGTAATAATATGTTATTCAGTTGTAATAAAGTGTGTAAAATACACATCCATTCTGACTCTTTTTCACTTATATTTCTCCACACATTTCATCAGGGTATTTGCATATGTTCCTGTGACAAATTCTTCTTAAAATATCTTTAAATATCTAATATTAATTTTCTATCGTACATTTTCCTGAAACAAATAATCAAGCATTGCGTTTAAGGAATTTTACGTATCTTTTAATACTTGACGTATTTCATTAATTTTTTTTTCATATAGTGACGCAGTGCATTTTTAATGACTTGATTAACGTTGGGTCTAGTTACAATCTTGTAGTAACCAATACCGCACAGTGGCGCTGTTGCGTTAAAGAAAGAATAGTGGCGCTCTTTGCGCTGTCTGGAGCACAACCAAAGAGCTGTCCCGTTAGAAACAAGATGATGCTCTTTGTTTCAGTTTGCGTTGTGGCCCGCTGCAATTCTTCAGACAAGTCACCGAGCGTACTGTCTGCTTCTATGTACACGTCAAAATTTGAACTGAAGATAAAGTAACTCACATAGCCGCTAACTGCCACAATCTTTAAATTGTGTTGTTGATGCCGTTAAAATGCCTGCAGCGTGCAGCGCATACGACACAGTTAATGCCAACTTAAATAAAATTAGATTAAAAATAATAGCCTCCATCTGTAGTGGATATCTTTGACTGTGATGAGTTTAATGGGCTCACGTTTGGCCTTGAGTCATGAAGACTCGCTGTGGCTGCATAACGGGATTTAAGCGAAGGCGGAAGTAGATGGCAGCATAGCTCTTGTCCCGTTAGCTAGCGCCAGGTCCATCGCCTGAAAACTCCTTGTTCGAGGAGACGCGAGGCCGCCCTGACAACAGACCCACCTAGCGATTCACTCTGTCTTTACGAGTCGACAACCATTAAAAAGAAGAAAGCACAGCTCTTTTAGTTTTAGCTAGCTAGCTTTCCGTCTCTCACGGTTTTATTCAACCCCCGCTATAGATTCTTTACCATGGCGGCGAGTGCGAAGAGAAAACAGGAGGAGAAACACCTGAAGATGCTGAGAGAAATGACGAGTTTGCCTCCCAACAGAAAGTGCTTTGACTGCGACCAGCGAGGCCCGACCTACGCCAACATGACTGTGGGTTCCTTCGTCTGTACCTCCTGCTCTGGCATCCTGTAAGTATTAAGTTGCACAGTGACCTTAGCTTAGACATGGCGCACACGATATTAATGCGCTTCGGCTACACGGGGTAAACCCAGCCAGTTAGTCAAATAGTAGCACTAGCTACCGTCAGATGGGGAACTAGAAAAGACGGAGGTAGTGTGAGTTTAGCTGTTTTGACATTGCAGTGTGGTGCGTTGGGCGGGGTGCATAGAGGTGTCAGGCGAGCGCACCAACCAGCCGAGATGCTAGCTAACGTTAGCATCCAGTGTTAGCAAGTGAACTTATCTGACACTTGCAAGCTAGGTCCACAGATAAGCCAGCTGCTGCTGCTTCCAGCTGCCGGTAACGTTAGGAAGCACCACCTAGTAACTGAGCCGGTCCGCCCTGTGGAGCCATATGTTTGAGTCACTTAACCGCATTTTCGCTGCAAACGTGATGGTCGACACTTGGCAGAGCGAAAGTCGTGTTATCTTAAGGCGCGACTGAGATAAATGTAAAATCTGTTATCAATTGTGCGAAGTTCACTCATCTATTTTGTGTTTTCGAATTATTTATCCTCTGGCATAACATCGCAGCTCGAATTAGAGCTGACAACGCAGTTGATCAAAAGCTTTTTTTCTCTCCGTGTATCTGCAGTTTACCTCCTACGACGGCTCTGAAGCCCATGCATTCACAAGCATTGTAGTTTCATTGTAGCAGAGTGGAGGGTTTTATTTGTAATTTTTTTTAATTAAAATCTTTGTGCAGTTGTGTGATAAGCATTTTTTTTTAGCTTGGGATTAGTGGAGCACTCCGCTTCTTCTTATTTTGCCACACACACACATACGTCTCAGCTCAGCTGTCATATTTCCTTCTTGCATGTTGTATGATGCTGGATACATTCAGAAAGAAAATGGTTTAATGCAATAATAACAAATCACTTCGTCACTCAGTTTTACATCAGTTTAGTGGTAAATGGGGCAAAAGATGTACAACATGGAGGAAGTGTTTCCCTCTCACTGCCCGTGTTGCACTAATCATTCTCAATACTCTGCAGTAATCGACCTTTCAGACTGCACTGACATGTAGTTCACTGAGAAACAACACACACATGAAATGCTAAAATAAATTATAAGTGCTATCACCATCACCCATAAAGACACAAATACTTGAATTAGATCTGCATGCACCTTTTATACAGATCACCTTGCCATTTTCTGTTCATGAATAATTATCATTCTAAAAATGTTGTAGGTAAAAGGTAAGGTTTTTATTGCTTAGTAAATGCCCACTGGCCAGGTTTGAGTTAATGTAGCTTAGCTTTGGTGAGCATTAGATAAATTACATGCTGGCTGATACTTTCCCTTTGTTTACCGCCACCAGTGGGTGTTTCTGTGGGGACGCCGCTGTGTATTTCCCATGTGCTTGCCCTATTGCTTTAAATCCTGTAATAAGAGCTAATTAAGTTCATTTTTTTTAGCTTGAGATCTCTGTTCTAAACCTTATATCCTTTCTTTTTTGTCTTTCTCGCTGACTTTTGGTTAGATAAAGGTCACATTCAAGGAAAATCTTTCTGTTGGAAGAGTGTGGGGCTGAAAGCATAGATGTCCGTATGATATGCGCAGGAAGCTTGATCTGATTTTTAGGTTCAGGAAGTGGTGTGGCCCCACTGTGCTGCTACATCAGCAACATGTGATGTTGTGTATGTG